CGAAATCACTTCACCTCATTTGGGCAAAACAATATAATACATGATTATTATTTTATATAGTTAAGATCATGAGTCAATTGAATCTAGACCACTATGGAAAAACCTAGAAGCATTAAATGGCCATTTTATCCTATTGTGTGATTCCTCAGGAGTGCCCATCCACGATCTCGCCTCGCGAGATTTGAACCCAGGACCCCCCTCTGATAATGATCATATGCCCACCAGTGACTGGCTCCATGAGGTATTTCCTGAAGTTGTAGTGAGAAGCAGTAACCAGTGGAGTTCGACCAGGTCTGTTGGGAGATATTAACTCACTGAAGATAATGGTAAATGGTTGATCGATTTCGTGGATTGTTTGAAGTTAGACATTAACACTGTTGGATACCGGTTGGCTCAGAGGTCTATCGGTTAAGCGCTCTGGCGCGAGACTGATAGATCTTGAGTTCGAATCTCGTGAGGCGGGATCGTGAATACGCACTGCTGAGGAGTCTCACAATAGAACGAAAGGGCCGCCCAGTACTTCCAGGTTTTCCGTGGTTGTCTAGCTTCAATTGACTCATGATTTCAACTATATGAAATTTCTAAAATCTCCACAAAACCCCCCGCTCATTATTATTATTATTATTATTATTATTATTATTATTAATATCATTTAGATGTTTGATTAATGTTGTAACGTTTGGTTTGCCAAGTCTTTACAAATGAGATGCTAATTTCTCTTAGACGAATATCTACACTAGATGCCATTCCGGTGTCTATTTCTATAGGACTTCAAAATAACGCATATCAAGAACAGGTGATTAACCTGTCTAGAATGTAAATATATTTCCACACCAAAAACCGACAACAATCCGACACAATCCAACACCAATCAATAATGGTGGTAAGGATAGGAGAATATCTAAGTCATCTAGTACCTGTCAGACTATCTACAAGTCTGACTAAGCATTGGTTTGAATTATTTTTTCTGATTAGCATTTTTTTAGGGAGTTAGTTTTTTTACGGTATTGGGTCTTTAACCCCATGCCCAACCCTCCTCTTTTACCAGGTCTTAAGACCGGTAGTAACTCTAGAAGAGCTACAGTCGGAATTCTGACTAAGCAGACAACCAATTATTATCATTTTTGCCCACATATTGATTATATTTGCTTGAAAAATCTTGGATCAGATTGCTCAATGAAACGTTGGATCTATTTCAAATTCAATCGCTGAGATTTTACAAATACATCCTTCCTACTTAATGATTTATATAAACATAGAACCTAAGTACTATGAAACTATTCATTCAAATTTAGATGACAGTTCTTATATAAACAATATAATTTCTATACTAGATTAATTACAGTCCATAGTTTAGTTTAGATTAGTCCAAGTATTACGAAATGAAAAAATGATAGTCATCCACTTATACTACTAATCTGTTAGAAATATGGTCAGGCTCCAAATTTCTTTTTCTGAAAAAGGCGCCTTTTAAAAGAAAAGAAACACTTAAGCTCTGCGTTTAATTGCTTTTCCCACCGTGGTCAACCTTAAATTTAACATGTAATTAAATTATTTTGATTATACACTAAAATAATATTTCTAATGTAGATGATTTTGACTCCAGTTGTTGGTAAATTACATTCATCTAACTCAATTATTTTTGATATTGTAATTTTGAATAATTCAATTCACATTGATCAACAGTGCACATCCATGATCTTGCGAGTGAATACCTAACTTCTAAACCACTGAGACCTAAGTATCACATGTGGAATCGTGGATGTAGAGTGTTGAGGAGTCACATATTAATACGAGAAGGCCGTCTAGTGCTTCCAGGTTTACAGTGATGGTCTAGCTTAGATTGACTTGTGAATTCAATTCACAAATCTCGAAAATATTGACAAGTTGTTAAAACAAATTTATGAACTCTTCTGTGAGAATTTATTGAAGGTAAAGAAACCTTATTCTTCATTTTAACACTTATATTTAACATAGTTGAAAGCGTGAGTCTTTAAGTTCATTTTACAATGTTTCTATTGAATTAGAAGGGATTTTGTGGAGACTTAGTATTTTTATAGTTGAGATCATGAGTCAATTGAAGCTAGACCACCATGGAAAACCTGGAAGCATTGGACAACCGTTTTATCCTATTATGGGACTCCTCAGCAGTGCGCATTTACGATTGAAAGTAAACTGTATTTGTGAACCTAATTAGAATAGTTTTGATATTCAGAAGTTATTTCGAAAATTTATCATCATGGATAATTGAAGTTGTCTACAATATAATCTAATATTGAAGTAAATTCTATAACTTTGTTCTTAATATACAAAAATGGTAAACAAACTAGGCGAGAGAAACTGCTTTATATCAAGAAAATGTGTCAAGTTCAATGTTAAATTTAACTCATTTTAATGAAATCCGACAAAATCACAAAACTGGTTGGATCATTCGGAGGAATTCTATATGCATGTAAATACACTATGTAACGTCGATTAACTATAGTCAGGCAACGATTTTAAAATCAATAAGCACTCCATGAGTGTCTCATCATTGGCTTGAACATCTTGACTATGTTTACTTATCATTTGATTATATTCCATCTCAATATTATATTTTGTTTTCTATAGTTATTAACTATTGTATCATTATCAGAAGGGGTTTTGTGGAGATTTCAGTATTTTCATAGTTGAAAGCATGAGTCAATTGAAGCTAAACCACCATAGAAAACCTTGAAGCACTACGCGGCCCTTTCGTCCTATTATGGGACTCCTCAGCAGTGCGCATCCACGATCCCGCGTCGTGGATTATCAGTCTCACGCCAGAGCACTTAATAGATAGACTACTGAGCTGGTATCCGATGAATAAACTATTGTATCAACAAATTATGAATCTAACACTTTAAAAATAAAATCGTTTTGTAAAATCAGATGATCTACAGCAGCAAACAATGGAGTACATATGAGGTTGTACGAATTACATTTCAATAACATTCAAGATTTTTCATGTGGACGTAATTAGTGGTATTTCAGTTAGTTGATGATGAGAAATATCTTTTTACAGTTAACTAATACAACTATAAATGCTCAAAAAAGGAAACATGATAGCAATTCATTGCCACGTTTTTATTAACCAATATCAGTGATTATTTTAAGTTAGTTAATACTCATCAAGAAATCATCTATACAATCTTGAGTCAACTAGTATCTGACCATGGGATTTCGACTTCATTCATTCAGCATGTCAGTTATCGACGTCATCAATGTGTTGTACAAATTATAGTTAACCTTTCGTAAAAGTGAAATGTTTACACACTAACTGATCCTTCAGTAGTTATTTTTAGATATAAATATAAAGGTTAAACTTGATAGTTTCATATAAATTGAGCATTGGATAGAGAGTTAATAATAAAGATACTTTTGTTAGAACCCAATCAGTAGAAAAAAAAATCGTATTTCTGACATTTTGTGACTTAATGTAAGTGACTTCTGAAAATTCGGTTACTTATTTACTTTGAAGAAGTGGTTTATATTAATTCTGGAAACGTCAGAACTACAATTTTTTCTATTCATTAGGGTATAAGAAAAAATGATTATTGTTCAGCAGTTATTTGTTTCACACCTCTACAAAATACTATAAAAATAGAAAGACTATCATTTATGGACGAACCAAACAGATTTAGGATAACAAGTCTCTGATTTTGGCGCAAAATTTATTTGTCCATATGGTTAAATAGTATTTTAACATTATAGCTGATGCCAGTTCGTGATGAAAACCATAAATCTAATTCCTAACCCTAACCATCAGCTTTAAATTATAATCCTTATTATTCAAACAACCTTATAACCCTCATTTGGCACTGATAAGTTGATAAACATTCTCAAGGTCACTGAGGTGTCGCTTAAAGGTCGTTCATAAATTATAGTCTCACAGTATTTTCTTTATCACCCTAGCTAAACGATAGACAATTATCAATCGCAGAATATTTTGTTGACAGATTAATAACACGAATAAATTGCATATTGAATATTTTTAATAGTTAGTTGTTACATGATTTTTTTATTTAAGGAAATAATTTGGCAGCATCATTGATGTGCAAGGTGGATCTGATGCAAATGTGAAGACGCGCATCGGCAAAAATGGAGCAGCATATTTACAACTAAAGAACATCTGCAACTCAAAACAATTGTCTGTCAACGAACACCAAGATCAACATTTTCAATACAAATGTCAGGACAGTTCTATTATATGGGGCGGAAACCTGGAGAACTACGAAAACCACCATCCAGAAGATGCAAGTGTTGATTAACAGTTATCGACGCAAGATACTTCGGATCCGTTGGCCAGACACCATCAGCAACACTCTACTATGGAAGAGAACAAACCAGATTCCATCCAGTGGAGGAAGGAATCAGGAAGATGGGCTGGAAGTGGATAGGACACCCATTGAGGAAATCACTCAACTGCGTCACAAGACAAGCCCTTACATGGAATCCTGAAGGTCGAAGGAGAAGATTAATACCGAGGAACACATTACGTCGAGAAATGGAGACAGACATGAGAAGTATGAAGAAACAATTGGATAGGATTAGAAAGGAAGACGTATGACAGAGTGAGTGGGTTGGAGAATGCTGGTCGGCGGCCTATGCTCCATTAGGAGTTACAGGAGTAAGTAGGGAAGGAAATAACTTTGGTAACAATAACAATGGTAAGATACAAGTAAACAACACCAAGTGAATTTAAACTTCACCCCATTGAACAAGCATGTGGCTATCACGACTCAGTAGCTGAGTGGATAACATGATGGCGTTTGAAACTAAAGGTAATGGGTTCGATTCCCCGAGTGAATATCTACTCTAAGATGCAGATACATCCAGCTGACAAGTCTCAAATAGAACGAAACGCATCGTCCTGAATTCCACTTCTACCCACTATCCATCTTTGTTTATCAACCATTTTTTATTTACTAACAATGACAAACAAACATCCTTTTTTAAAAAAAAAAACCCATTGAACTTACTTGTATTCCTAATATTAATGTTGCTTTACGTTGTATTGCATATATTCCAATAATTCCTAATAATATTGATGTTATACAAAAAAATACAATCCATATTAAAATTGCATAACTTATAGTAATTTTTTGTAATGATATAAACATTTTTAACCATAATGGATAACTAATAACTAATAATACACTACTAAATATGATACTACTTATAATGATTAATATTGAATTTAATATAATAGAAATAATTTTTAATTTTGCCATTTGTGAATGAAATATTTTTTGGCGAAATTTTAAATTATGTATTAATTTGGAAGTTCGTTCCATGATGAATTATTTTTCTCTTTTCTTTTTTTCTTTTTGTTTTCTTTTCTCTTCTCTTCTCTCCTTTTCTCTTTTCCTTTTCTTTGTTTGATTTTTTCTTCTCTCCTTTCCTCTCTTATTCTTTTCTTTTTTTTTCTTTTCCTTTCTTTGTTTTGTTTTCTCTTTTCTTCTCTTCGTTTATTTTTCTTTTTTCTTTTCTTTTCTTATTTTGTTTTTCTTTAATGATTTAATTTAAAAGATTTTTATGATTTTTGAATTAGTTTAAATGTAAAAATTTTTATGAAAAATGAATAAAATAATACATTGTATATTGAATTTATTTTCTTTTTTTTTTTGGGGGGGGGCGACGGGTTAATTCTATTGGTTTAGAATGACTGTCTTTATATAAGAATAATTTTAACCAATCAAATGAATAATGGAGTAGTTTAATTTTTGACCGGGAAAAATATGATCCCCATCATATTAAAAGATTAATAATATTTAAACAAAGAATATTCTTTTCAATAGATTCTCTCTTCAGGTTCTATAATTCATATATTCAAATTAATAATCTGAAAAAATGGTCAGGTTAAGGGTTAAGTACATCGTTTAAAATATGTAAATTTGGGATTAGAAGGGTTTTTTATATAGATTTCAGTATTTTCATAGTTGATATCATGAGTTAATTGAAGCTAGACCACCATGGAAAACCTGGAAGTACTGGACGGTCGTTTCGTCCTATTATGGGACTCCTCAGCAGTGCACATCCACGATCCCACGTCGCAAGATTCGAACCCAGGACCTACCAGTCTCCGGCCAGAGCATTGTCAAACCAAATAGAATAAAATTGGTAATGTTGATATGGCTCATATAGAATGTTAACACTTGAATCTGTATATATGTAAAGTGAAAATTCAAAATCGATGATCAGAATAAATATGGGTCAGGTAGGGTGAGAGAGATATGACAGTGCAATTACAATTCGATCAAGTGGAAGACTAAATTGTGTGAAAAATTAGTAAGACGTAATAAAGAGGGATCAATACGATGTGAATGAATCATGTTTATGGGGGGATTAATAATGATGTTTAACCAATAATAAATTCACTTAGTATTGTTTGTTTGAATCTTCCCATTGATGTTTAGGACTGCAACTGGTCAGTCTCTAATAGTAATAATAATAAAATATGATTTAACTATTGAATACTTTCGTTTTTACTTTTTCGTTCATTTTTTAAATCAGGAAATAAATTTAATTAATTTTTTCTCTATAAATTTATGATAGGCTGATGATCCTAATAGTAGTATACTTACATTAATTATTTTGTTTGACCTTAAGTATCAAATTATCTCGTATGACTGATTATATATACTTACTTATTTACGCCTGTTACACCTCGTCGAGGAGCATAGGCCACTCATCAGCATTCTCCATCCAACTCTGTCCTGAGCCTTCCTTTCCAGTTCTTTTCAGTTGCTATTATGTATAGATATAATTAATCTTAAATGTTATACCTATTGAATAATTAGTATCGGTTTTAACTTAATATATAGTGAATATTGTTTCAATATACAAAACGATAAGCAACGGGTTTACAACTCACTATGTACATTGTTATGTCCTACGGTTCACTAAATATTCATATTACAAAATTGTTACTCAGAATACCGATTTCTATGACATTGTTCTTGTGCGAAACCAATAATGCATCAACTAGTAGCAACAGTCAATTCTGAATTCTTATTGGTACTCTGTATAGTAGATTCTCGTCTAATCCAACCTATTCAGTCTAGAACACAAATATCAGCTTTCACAAACATTAGTTTCATATACAAACAGACCAAATGACATCATATCATAAAATGAAAAATAACAAGTGTACAAGATCAAACTAAGAGTAGCTGTGAGTAATAGGAGACTGTAACTAATAGAATTGGAACAAATTAAGTGTGGTAAATAGTATAACAGTAGCCAACAGATCAAATGAAAGCTTATGATAGAAGGAATATGAATATATATATAACCTAATGCCTGAATAATAATTCAATTAAAATATATTGAACAATAGTCCATAAATAATTCAAAACAGTTACCACTTATTTTTGACTTCGTTCGGATATAACATACATTAACACTAATATGTAGGTGATTCCACTTGGTGAATGTTAGACTGTCACACATTACCCTAAATACATTCAGATTCTGGATTTTTAAATATCGATTCAAAAATCTCTAAAGTTTAATGATGTCAGTAGATAAACAATCATCAACCGTGACATTCGAAGATATTGAAAGTATAACCAAGATTGGATGGAATCAAAAACTGAAAACTCTTAAATTTCAATTGATGTTGTTCAAACTAATCGTGTTTTTTATAAGGTTATTGATTCGAACAACGTTCACAACGTTTAACTAGGACAAAATAGCTATGCAATTGTACATTCTTTTCAAGTGTTTCTTGATTAATTTCAGTGTGTGATTTTAACTATACTCAATTATAACTGTGTTCATATCAAACTAAGTAACGATAGTCACGAATTATTTGTCATAAAGTTTCAGACATGCGTTATAAACTGATTAGATGATAAGTCAACATTTTTGACGTTTACTCCATCTTAATTTTCAAAATATTATAATGAATTATGAAGCATGCAAGATAGTCAGAAGGAATCTAAAAAAGTGATGTACTTATGTTTCGTGATAGATGAGGCTAAATGAAGGTTATCTGAAGTTTCAAAGAAATTTGTATTTCCCCACGAAATTCACATGTCCGAGATTAAGTTTCACAGTTAGAAAAATCAATATTGAACTATCTGGGCTGTATTCGAACACTTGTTTGACTGAAATATTTATACCAGTTTATTATTGGGTAATAGTCGACTTCATATTCGTCGACAACCGGCTTTTTACTGATTCTTTTCGTCCTTTTAATACCAAAATAAGATATTAAATCACTTAGATTTATTTTCAAACTACAACTGTATTGACAGAATTCTATCATCATCAAAGTGCCAGACAGACAATGATATATACTACTATATTGACTAATAAAACAAGATATATGAGTTCAACATCGTAGGTCGGAATTGAGCCATCTTTTCACTTGTTGGAAGATACGTTAGAGATTTATTGGAGGGAGCATCCGCAATTTGTTGTAGATTGTTTTTATTATTTGAGTAGGCATCATTATCATATAAGCCATGTCTTAAATGTCAAGAATAGTTTTGATTCCTTGTAATGCGATGAAAAGTTTGAATATGAGAATTCATTCACAACTTACTGTCTAAAAGTGTACCATGAGATAAAGAGTCTATGTATGTGAAGATATCATGAAAATCTCCAGAATAAATCGCTTTATTATTTGGTGGATAAACTGATCTTATTTCACGATAGGCTACAGCTATATGAACCGTTAAGGGGTAGCCAAATAGTAAACTTTTGAAATAAGCACTCTATTAATAGATGAGTGTAAGTCGAATACTTACAAGATACACTAACATTGAGAATGGTTTCCTATTGTTCGAGTAAGAAAGAAGCTAATCAAACTGAAATGTGTAAGAATCTCACTAAATGACTGAAGTTGAATAAGTAGATTGTTAGATTTAAAATAAAAATCTAATAATGACAGTTTCTAACTTAGCTAATCATTTCTCTTTTTGATAAAGTTTTGTTCTCTGAGATGGATGGTTTAGTCATGGAGCTTTTATCGTTCTTCTGAACGACATCATCAGCACAAACTTCGGGTAGAAGTGAAGTGTTTGAATTTCTTCACATGTGGTTCACAGCTTGTTCTGTGCATCTCGATGGTGATTGGTCCTTGTTGACCTTCTGAGCTACAAATCTTCTCCACCATCTTTAACCATTTCTTTCTGTTTGTGTGTGTGAATAGAACTATCCTCTTAGATGATTTTTATTTATTAATTTAAACACATAAATATTGGTACAAAACGGCATCGGATATATATGCGACACAAATCTCATTTGATTTGTGTGAGGGATGTGATACTGTAGTGCCGCGATTCGTTAACCGTTTACTTCGATAACCGTTATAATTCTAAACTTAACGGTACGTAAAATCAGAAGACAAAGGATAACAGCAACTACAGTTTATTGTCGAATGACTCAGGTTCGAAAGCTAACAACACCTGAGCGAATATGGACGAGCGAGTGAGCGGCAAGCGAGAGAGCGAACAAGCGAAGGAAACGAACGAGGAGCAAGCGAGCAAATAGCAAGCAATTACATAGGCGATTTATAGTCAAATTTAATAAGGGCACATCTAAGCAAAACAAAGGCTGATAATAATATTTCCGTGCGTACATATATGGGGAGGAGTATGAGTCATCGAATGATATTTAAGCAGTCAACATTTCGGCCAGAGTGTCATGTGCTCTAGTGGTATGGCAGTGCAAAGAATATGCAAATTGTTACTATCTAAATGACAATGTCTGTTAAGTAAGTTATAAAAAAGGGCTTAACCAAAATTGGCTATAATCGAAATTGATTGTAGGATGGTTGCTATAATACTGCCCAACTGCCCAAACTGAAGCAGGTGGTTTTCTTAGGGGACCCCACCCGGAGCCTTTCACCTAAAAATCTGATCCACAAGACAGTGGAGCATCATGAGGAGATGCCGTTCTATGGTAGTCAGTGACCAACGATTGGTCCATACCCCATTTGTTCTTTCAGGGTCGTGGAGCTCATGTGCACGATTGGTTTGGAATCAGGGTTTTCCAACACCCCTAGGTGGACTATCCATGTCCACCGACCCGGTTTAAGCGTCGGACATTCGCTTTTCGTTCTCTCAATTTCGTAAACAACAGTAATGCCATGAGAAGGCAGTGAGTAGGACTTGGTTGGCAGAGGCTATATACGCGTGGAAATATGTGAGAGCAATTGGAAAGGGAAAGCGGACTCTCTTTACTCTTGGCCTTAACAAGGCATTTGGGGGCTAGATGATATTAGTTTGCAACGAAGTTCATCTTCACATCATAAAATTCCTATTAGATTACCTATCTTGAAGTCAGTAATACTTAATTTTATACCTTAAATAAAACACGACTTCACTAAACTATGCTTCCTTTTAAAAAAAACACACTAAAAGATCATCTGATTCAATGAAGTTGTTTTTTTAAAAAAAAATAAAAACATCACTTGATTCTTAGTTGTTTTTTTTAAATTAACATCATTTATTCAGATTCGTCTCCATGTCATTTTGTTCTTGTTTCTATATGGGAAAAAGTAAGAATATTCAATTGTCAATTTTTCTTCACTTAGTAACAAATAACAGAGTTGATTTTA